CTCTACAGTACGGACTTGTTCCTTCACACTACAGACTTGTTCCTCCACAGTACGGACTTGTTCCTTCATACTACAGACTTGTTCCTCCACACTACGGACTTGTTCCTCCACACTACGGACTTGTTCCTCCACACTACGGACTTGTTCCTCCACACTACGGACTTGTTCCTCCACACTACGGACTTGTTCCTACCTTGTCACGGTGATGTTGCCTGACAATACCTCTAATTTGTAGTAGAGTCTTGGGTATGAAGTATTCAATATGGTCTCCTTCAGCGCCTTCAGCAGCCAGCACATCTGCTCGTTCATTCCCACATATTCCAACATGGGAGGGGATCCACAGGAAATTGGACAAACCTGGACAATATGTGGCATGGTGACTTACCTGGACAATATGTGGCATAATGGCTTACTTGGACAATATGTGGCATAGTGACTTACCTGGACAATATGTGGCATAATGGCTTACTTGGGCAATATGTGGCATAGTGACTTACCTGGACAATATGGGGTGTAGTGACTTACCTGGACAATATGTGGCATAGTGACTTACCTGGACAATATGTGGCATAGTGACTTACCTGGACAATATGTGGCATAATGGCGTACTTGGACAATATGTGGCATGGTGACTTACCTGGACAATAAGTGGGCGGTCGTTGAGGGTGGAGGCAAGATTCTCCCGCCTGTACCTGGCATCCTTGACGAAGACGTGGGCGTGCAGCATGGGCGTGTAGCACAACTCTGCACCTGCCGTGGGAGAGGTATTATTGCCTGCATCTCTCTCTCCGTAATAAGCAAGACCTATGAGCTATCTTGATGATCTTGTGAGCTGTCTATTAGCTCACAAGACACACTATGCTGGTTAACCTTTATATACAGTGTCCCAGTGCCTGCAACACTGCCCCAGTGCCTGCAACACTGCCCCAGTGCCTGCAACACTGACCCCAGTGCCTGCAACACTGCCCCAGTGCCTGCAACACTGCCCCAGTGCCTGCAACACTGCCCCAGTGCCTGCAACACTGCCCCAGTGCCTGCAACACTGCCCCAGTGCCTGCAACACTGCCCCAGTGCCTGCAACACTGCCCCAGTGCCTGCAACACTGTCCCCAGTGCCTGTAACACTGCCCCAGTGCCTGCAACACTGCCCCCAGTGCCTGCAACACTGCCCCCAGTGCCTGCAACACTGTTCCCAGTGCCTGCAACACTGCCCCCAGTGCCTGCAACACTGCCCCCAGTGCCTGCAACACTGTCCCCAGTGCCTGCAACACTGTCCCTAGTGCCTGCAACACTGCCCCAGTGCCTGCAACACTGCCCCAGTGCCTGCAACACTGCCCCAGTGCCTGCAACAATGCCCCCAGTGCCTGCAACACTGTCCCCAGTGCCTGCAACACTGTTCCCAGTGCCTGCAACACTGTCCCCAGTGCCTGCAACACTGTTCCCAGTGCCTGCAACACTGTCCCCAGTGCCTGCAACACTATCCCCAGTGCCTGCAACACTGTTCCCAGTGCCTGCAACACTGTTCCCAGTGCCTGCAACACTGCCCCCAGTGCCTGCAACACTGTCCCCAGTGCCTGCAACACTGTCCCCAGTGCCTGCAACACTGTCCCCAGTGCCTGCAACACTGTCCCCAGTGCCTGCAACACTGTCCCCAGTGCCTGCAACACTGCCTCCAGTGCCTGCAACACTGTCCCCAGTGCCTGTAACACTGCCCCAGTGCCCGTAACACTGTCCCCAGTGCCTGCAACACTGCCCCAGTGCCTGCAACACTGTCCCAGTGCCTGCAACACTGCCCCAGTGCCTGCAACACTGTCCCAGTGCCTGCAACACTGTCCCAGTGCCTGCAACACTGTCCCAGTGCCTGCAACACTGTCCCCAGTGCCTGCAACACTGTCCCCAGTGCCTGCAACACTGTCCCCAGTGCCTGCAACACTGTCCCCAGTGCCTGCAACACTGTCCCAGTGCCTGCAACACTGTCCCCAGTGCCTGCAACACTGTCCCCAGTGCCTGCAACACTGTCCCAGTGCCTGCAACACTGCCCCAGTGCCTGCAATACTGTCCCCAGTGCCTGCAACACTGCCCCAGTGCCTGCAACACTGTCCCCAGTGCCTGCAACACTGTCCCCAGTGCCTGCAACACTGCCCCAGTGCCTGCAACACTGTCCCCAGTGCCTGCAACACTGTCCCCAGTGCCTGCAACACTGTCCCCAGTGCCTGCAACACTGTCCCCAGTGCCTGCAACACTGTCCCCAGTGCCTGCAACACTGTCCCCAGTGCCTGCAACACTGTCCCCAGTGCCTGCAACACTGTCCCCAGTGCCTGCAACACTGTCCCCAGTGCCTGCAACACTGGGGTCGTATTAGCAAAAGGTATAGTTGCTACGTTTTTGTATAGGGAAATAGTTCATTTCACGCCTCGATAGGGAGTGTTAAGGTATAGGGTGTGATATTTCATTTAGCTGTTGTTTAGACTTTGCCTTTATAAATAATTAGCTTGTTCTCTGCATTTCATTGTTTCCAATTTTTTTTGTGTGTCCATGTCCTTGTCACGTGGCCTCCACGAGTCTGAGTTTTAGTTGGGCCGCAAGCCTAACAAAGTTTTAAGAGTTCATTTATCCCTTTGTTTGCTATAATTCCCACACTTAACGTAGATTCATCCCCCCCCCCTCTTTTCCAAGTAATTTGGGGATCAAGCCAAATATCACGGGCAGGGTAGAGGACAGAGTAGGGCCAATACCCACCCGCGTTACAGAGGCTGACTCCATACACAGTTTCAAATGTAAATATGATAGAGCCCAGTAGGCTTAGGAATCTGTACACCAGTTGATTAACGGTTGAGAGGCGGGACCAAAGAGCCAGAGCTCTACCCCTGCCACACAAACACTAGTGGTCAACGCTGCCTGCCACACAAGCGGCAGCGTTGATTTCTTGTAATATGAATGTAATTTGTCATATTAATTATTGTTATTTAGTGAAACTGTTCTCTATTTTTTCATTTATTTTGTCTAGAAGCTTCGAATCATTATATTGACTTCTTTGATCTTAATTTTTAAAGGCAACTTTATTTTCTTTTGTATACATATATTGCTTTTATATATAAATATTAACTGCCTTCTTCTTGAGGTTATCTTGAGATGATTTCGGGGCTTAGCGTCCCCGCGGTCCGGTCCTCGACCAGCTAAGCTTAAAAAGTGACGTAACATGTGAATGTGGCACATGACGTAACGTGTGAATTACGCATTTCTGTTTTATATGTTAGACGAACCACATCAATGACAGTTCTAGCAAGGCGTATTCAGAGTTCTCAAAAGAACGCGAGCAGAAACTGCTTTCCTACGTATGATCCGTTTACGCAAAGTAATCAGATGCTGTTTGATTTTCTTAGTATTATTTAAGGTGTATTGGGATATGAGAGGACGGAGAGGCCTTACCGTAACGTCTAGACAGTAGTCGCCATGCCAGTTCCGACGCGTCCACCATAGGCGCCACCGCCAGCCGGGCTCCTCGCAGCTTTTCCCGCCAAAAGTCATACCCGCGAAGACTCGGCATTCCCTGAAGGAGAGAAAAGATGAATTAGTAGTTGTTGTGAACCCTCAGCCATCGCCTCACAAAACATTCCTTACACTGTCTCCTGTCTGAGACACATCCAGGGTCTGTCTCTTGGTCCCTAAGTCACACTCTCCTGTCTGAGACACATCCAGGGTCTGTCTCTTGGTCCCTAAGTCACACTCTCCTGCCTGAGACACATCCAGGGTCTTTCTCTTGGTCCCTAAGTCACACATGTCCCTGGTACTTCGTATATAATTATTTCCGGTGTTGGGGGTAGATAGCCTGAAAGACTTCAGTCCTTCGGTCGTACCTTGGTGGGTTTCTGGGAGTTCTTCAACTCCCACAATCAAGCAATCAGGTGAAAGGAAATGTGCTTAGCCATTTCTGTCCAGCCGGGAATCCAACCCAAGATTTTTTATTATATGTAAAGAACGTAGACCAGTGGGACCAGCTGGTCCCTAGAACCTACTGGTCTCTGGTACCCTGCTTGTCCCCAGGACCCAAGAGCACCCCTTAGCACATCCAGGTCGCACGAAGACCAGTAGATCTTTGGTAGTTTGGTCTCCAGAAGTGATATCCTTCCTGCTATAAGAACACAAGAATAAATGAAACTGCATAATTCCTATTGGTCCACGTGAAGCAACAGCTATTACCACCCAAGCACTCCTAATGATGAGACACTCCTGCGATCCCACGTCTATTTTACCTAGTAATTTGTTCCATTAATCCACAGCAGTGTTTCCCAACGATTGTTTACTTAAGTCTTTGCTGAATCTAAACTTAACTTTTTTTCATTTTGTATATGTTACGAGCCTAATCTGCAGTATACTCTAATTTGCGTACTGAAGAGTTGTTATGATGGTTTGTCTAGAGAGACATTATAATAAAAATACAAGAGATGTAGATATCTGTTTATGGCGCCGGCAGTCAGCTGGCTGCTGGCAGACCCATCGAAGTTGTGCCGGCAGACATGCGTTGATTATGGATATCAGTAGCATATATCCTGCCATATATCAGGAGGATATTGTTAAATGGGAAAATTCAGCTATTATTCAGTGATAAATGGACATGTGGTATTAAGGGGCGGAAGTGAGAGCGTAAACAGTGACTAGACCAGATAATGGCGGACGTGGAAGTTGTATCTGACAGACGCTCATGGTTTGATAAATGTTGACTCCGCCAGACAGTCATAGAAGCTACAACTCATATTAGTTCAACTTGCAGAATATCATAGTGATGTTTAAAGGGAATATAGGGTATTATTTTACAGACTCCAGATTTCCGAATATATTTGCTGTAATGTTGATCTTGCTTGAGTGGATCAATATTGATTTAAATGTTGCTAGACTAAGCTGTGTTATGAATATTATGTCTATTTTAACATTTCCGATTCTTGTATATCAATCAAGATACAGGAATGATATGTGGGAGTTCCACCCAGTGATTAAATGTGTTCATATGTTTTTTCCATAAATATAAATTTTACTATCACCTTACCTAGTTGTCCCTGTGCTCCTTTGGGATTTCTCCTGGACACTTATATGTAGGTTATTATTAATTATATATAAGAAACAAAATAAGAAATATTCAGACAAATAGAAGTGAGGAGAGGAATAAAGTATGAGGGAAGTCAAACCAAGCAACACTACAGGTGTGTGAGTCAAAACACACATTTCACTTATGGTAAAAGGAGAAATGCTTGGAGTGACTCTGTGTACATGCGGCTCAGGCTTGGGTACAAATATTACTGGGAATATGGGATAGGTGTTCATGATAATGACACGAAGTGTAAACTATGTGGTATGTTAAGGTCTCACACCCTTGCCCATTATGTTCTTGATTGTCCGTTGATTAATGTATATAGAAACACTGAGATAAGGACTGTTCCTGAACAATGTGTTCAGGAACTGTTCCTGACTGTAGCCTGGATGTGTCACAACGGAAAGGTTGATGATATTCTTGAGAGATACAAGAATTTTGCACCAAGACTATAATCTTTTGTTGAATTATCTGCATGTCTCTTGCAAATTGTGTGTGTACCTTGTCATACATTTGTGTATTTGTGTGTGTACACAAATACCCAGTATTGTTATGTCTGGTAACATACTGCATGTGTAAAGGAAGAAATGTATATGTTTATCACTCAGAATGTTCGGTAATATATTGTTCATATATGAACACGTTGTAATGAACGGGGTGAGAATAGCTTGAGCTACCTCATCCCTTTGTGTGTATTTATACCTCAATAAACTTATTTCAGGTTCAATTCAATTTCATTATTAATTATAAATCCCTTGGAGTTAGGCCATGTGAAACTACCCATAGGACAAAATTCCTAGCCTAGGACACAGAAACCTGTGACGTGACAGTATCCAATATTTTGTTTTTATATTTATAACATCTTATTAATAATGCCTTTCATAAATTCATAAATTTTAGCCATATCACCCCTCTTACCCTTCACCCTTATGAATATGTAAATTAAGATTTTTTTCAATCCCTCCTCGTGAAAGAGATTTCTAATTTCTGGGAAAAACTTGGTACAGTCATTTCTGTACAAGGCTACGTGAACTAGCCTGTGCACTGTATCCTGTACAGCCTTCTCTACCAAAGAGCCAAAGCCCAACCCTCGCAAGCACAACTAGGTGAGTACACGTTATGGTAAAGTGAAGGGAATTATCAGGAGAAAGCGCCAAGTCATTATGACTATATAACACTGGGAAGGGGTCAGGATAAGGATTTGGAATGGGACGGGGGGAAGGAATGGCGCCCAACCCCTTGGACGGTCGGGAATTAAACGCCGACCTGCATGAAGCGAGACCATCGCTCTACCGTGATGAGTTTATATAGATTCTGGAAACCTAATGTATCAACCAGTCTTCCTAATAAAACGTCGCATTTTGACGTATACTTTACCTAAAGCCAAGAATGATCGTACTAAAAAATTGAATTTTCTAGTCAATTTCGCAGCTCGCGAAATTGACATACTGTCCTGTTTTCTGTTCTGGGTCCTCTGGTAGGTTAGGGTAAGGACACTAGTACGACAGTTTCTTGACATTTAGGACGGGCTGAATATATTTGTGGCACTTTGGCTGATCACTCTGAATGCTTAATGCTTAACATATCTCTGGTACCCTAGCTGGTGGTCCCCAGGTGGTACCCTAGCTGGTGGTCCCTAGGTGGTACCCTAGCTGGTGGTCCCTAGGTGGTACCCTAGCTGGTGGTCTATAGGTGGTGCCCAAGCTGGTGGTCCCCAGGTGGTGTCCTAGGTGGTACCCTAGCTGGTGGTCCATAGCTGCAGCATACCTGGAGAGGGTTTTGGGAGTTCTACTCCCCAAGTCCGGCCAGGGGCCAGGCTCGACTTGTAACCTGGTCCAACAGGCGGCTGCTTGGAGCGCCCCGCAATTCCTTACATCCAATACGACCTGGTTGGACTGGCACTTCTTGCAGGAAATTATCTAATTGCTTTTTGAAGTTCCCATTTGTTCCGGCAATATTTCCCGATATACCTGAGGGCCACTAACACTAGTGGCCTCAATGAGGACAGGAAGCCGGAGACCAACACTGTCAGCTCTCATGGACCTACACTGTCAGCTCTCATGGACCTACACTGTCAGCCCTCATAGACCTACACTGTCAGCCCTCATGGACCTACACTGTCAGCTCTCATGGACCTACACTGTCAGCCCTCAAGGACCTACACTGTCAGCTCTCAAGGACCAACACTGTCAGCCCTCATGGACTTACACTGTCAGCTCTCATGGACCTACACTGTCAGCCCTCATGGACTTACACCGTCAGCCCTCATGGACCTACACTGTCAGCCCTCATGGACTTACACCGTCAGCCTTCATGGACCTACACTGTCAGCCCTCATAGACCTACACTGTCAGCCCTCAAGGACCTACACTGTCAGCTCTCAAGGACCAACACTGTCAGCCCTCATGGACTTACACTGTCAGCTCTCATGGACCTACACTGTCAGCCCTCATGGACTTACACCGTCAGCCCTCATGGACCTACACTGTCAGCCCTCATGGACCAACACTGTCAGCCCTCATGGACCTACACTGTCAGCCCTCATGGACTTACACCGTCAGCCCTCATGGACCTACACTGTCAGCCCTCATGGACCTACACTGTCAGCCCTCATGGACCTACACTGTCAGCCCTCATGGACCTACACTGTCAGCCCTCATGGACCTACACTGTCAGCCCTCATAGACCTACACTGTCAGCCCTCATGGACCTACACTGTCAGCCCTCATGGACCTACACTGTCAGCCCTCATAGACCTACACTGTCAGCCCTCATGGACCTACACTGTCAGCCCTCATAGACCTACACCGTCAGCCCTCATAGACCTACACTGTCAGCCCTCATAGACCTACACTGTCAGCCCTCATGGAGGATGGTGCCGTGGGCTTGCAGTGTGCGCCCTCGTGGAAGGTGTACCACCACCACGGCCGGCACCCGCTCTCACCTGGAATGATTCCAACACAGAGATTAAACTATTAATCTAATTACTCTGTTTATTTTCCTATCAATATGCATTAGTTTTTTTTCAAGAAGAGCAATTAATCCTGTATATCACTGATTTATTTTACAGGGAATATCAGAGAGAATATTAGAAGTACAAACCTGAGGTACTTTGACCATTCCTCGTGTTCCAGAGACAAGCAAGAAATTAACACAGTCTGAACATCTGGTTACATTCTAACGCATGTTGATAAATCTGTACACAGTTATAAATGCCATTCTGTGTTCTTGATTGTCTCGCGCGCGCGCGCGCGTGTGTGTGTGTGTGTGTGTGTGTGTGTGTGTGTGTGTGTGTGTGTGTGTGTGTGTGTGTGTGTGTGTGTGTGTGTGTGTTTGTGTGTGTGTGTTTGTGTGTGTGTGTGTATTCACCTAGTTGTGTTTGCGGGGGTTGAGCTTTGCTCTTTCGGCCCGCCTCTCAACTGTCAATCAACTGTTTACTAACTACTTTTTTTTTCTCCACACCACATACACACACACCCCAGGAAGCAGCCCGTGACAGCTGACTGACTCCAAGGTACCTATTTACTGCTAGGTAACAGGGGCATTCAGGATGAAAGAAACTTTGCCCATTTGTTTCTGTCTGGTGCGGGAATCGAACCCGCGCCACAGGATTACGAGTCCTGTGCGCTATCCACCAGGCTACCAGGCCCCTGATGTGTGTGTGTGTGTGTGTGTGTGTGTGTGTGTGTGTGTGTGTGTGTGTGTGTGTGTGTGTGTGTATACTCAGAAATACAGTATTAATAACATTGTCGTCGTCTTCTCATCTTCTAGTGTGTGGTTTAGTCAACGTTACATATCAATATGAGATCTTAATGATCAATGGTTAAAATTTATGATTTAATAAGGATAATAGTGGTAATAATATATATTAGCCCCCACTAACAAATTCTAGGTACAGCACAAGAATATCTTCCAATATTCCCGAGTGTATGAAGTAATTACAGAGCTCAAAGTACCTCATACCATTTGGTCTGAAGTCACTGATAACAGGGCAATCACAGATATAGTGTTAGAGATTATGTCCTCTCAAGTAAAACTGAAAACATGTTTTTTTCACCCAGAGGGTTATAAACCCATGAAAACGCCTATATGCCTTAAATGCCAAAAATTCAGCTAGAAAATATCATTAGGACAATTGACTGGACCTTTAACAAGCCGCCGGCTTTCTGTTCTCGTCGAGGTCACTAGATAGTTAGTGGCCCTAGGGTAAATTTAGGTAAATATATACACGTAAATAAATGCCATCGCTTCTCAAATCTTGGGAGCAAGAAGGAAAGCCACACAATATCTCTTAGAATTACGTAGGTAAACAAAAAATATAACATTTGTTTACTACAATGTCGGTGCTGGCTGTAGAAGTCGAAAAAAACTAGTTTTACTGCAAAATATACTAATTTTATAAGAAAATTCAACGTAAATAGGTGGCAAATGAACACAGATAGGCTCCGATATGCCAGCGTCGTGATTGGCTACAGCTGTAAGGCGAAAAAATGTTACATTCTCTCTGATTGGCCAAAACGAAAAACCCTAGTGACATCTAGCGAGATTCAAGTAAAATTGCTAAAATCTTCGTAAGTACATCTTTCTGAATTGGACGTAGGAACGTTCTTAGGCAATACTTAAGAACCTTCGTAGAACACTTGCTTACGAAGAAATCCATGGAGCTTGGTGAATCTCGGTCCATGGCTACAACGCAACGAGTCCAAGGCAGCAGTAAAACACGGATGCTTCTAAATGTTTATTATACAAATGCTTTACACGTCATAAACCTTCATGTACCAGTGTGCTTGCAGTCGTAGAAAACATTATGGTACAAAACCCCCGTAAACCCCCACTGTCTGAGGAGGAACAATGCCACTGTTGAAAACCTGCCCACCAGTGTCAGCTGGCCTGCCCACCGGTGTCAGCTGGCCTGCCCACCGGTGTCAGCTGGCCTGCCCACCGGTGTCAGCTGGCCTGCCCACCAGTGTCAGCTGGCCTGCCCACCAGTGTCAGCTGGCCTGCCCACCGGTGTCAGCTGGCCTGCCCACCAGTGTCAGCTGGCCTGCCCACCAGTGTCAGCTGGCCTGCCCACCAGTGTCAGCTGGCCTGCCCACCAGTGTCAGCTGGCCTGCCCACCGGTGTCAGCTGGCCTGCCCACCAGTGTCAGCTGGCCTGCCCACCAGTGTCAGCTGGGCTGCCCACCAGTGTCAGCTGGCCTGCCCACCGGTGTCAGCTGGCCTGCCCACCAGTGTCAGCTGGCCTGCCCACCAGTGTCAGCTGGCCTGCCCACCAGTGTCAGCTGGCCTGCCCACCGGTGTCAGCAGGGCTGCCCACCAGTGTCAGCTGGCCTGCCCACCGGTGTCAGCTGGGCTGCCCACCGGTGTCAGCTGGCCTGCCCACCGGTGTCAGCTGGCCTGCCCACCGGTGTCAGCAGGGCTGCCCACCGGTGTCAGCTGGGCTGCCCACCGGTGTCAGCTGGGCTGCCCACCGGTGTCAGCTGGGCTGCCCACCGGTGTCAGCTGGGCTGCCCACCGGTGTCAGCTGGCCTGCCCACCGGTGTCAGCTGGCCTGCCCACCGGTGTCAGCAGGGCTGCCCACCGGTGTCAGCTGGGCTGCCCACCGGTGTCAGCTGGCCTGCCTACCGGTGTCAGCAGGGCTGCCCACCGGTGTCAGCTGGGCTGCCCACCGGTGTCAGCTGGCCTGCCCACCGGTGTCAGCAGGGCTGCCCACCGGTGTCAGCTGGCCTGCCCACCGGTGTCAGCTGGGCTGCCCACCGGTGTCAGGAGCGCTCCCTGACGGCAGAGGTTGACACCGCCAGGCAGGAGCGCGCTTGTAGCTTAAAGCATTTTATTCCAACAAGTTGGGATAAAAATCTTAAATTTCCACAGGACTATTACAGTGGACAAAATGATGTCATCACTGTACAGTGGACAAAATGATGTCATCACTGTACAGTGGACAAAATGATGTCATGACTGTAGTGGACAAAATGATGTCATCACTGTACAGTGGACAAAATGATGTCATCACTGTACAGTGGACAAAATGATGTCATCACTGTACAGTGGACAAAATGATGTCATCACTGTACAGTGGACAAAATGATGTCATCACTGTACACAGGACCATAACAGGGCATAAATTTATACTTTCATAACAAAAGGGACAATGTCTTTATAGAAAATAATGTCATCTTGAGAAAGATGACGTCACCATGAGACAAATATTGCCTTCTTGAGACAGATGACGTCACCTTGAGACACATAATGTCATCGTGAGACACAAGACGTCACCTTGAGACAGATGACGTCACCTTGAGACATATAATGCTATTTTGAGACATGACGTCACCTTGAGACATGTCATCTTTAGACAGATAACGTCACCTTGAGACAGATGACGTCATCTCGATACACGATGAGATCACCATTACAAAATACACCGCTAAATGCCCCAAGATGATGCCCCAACATACCCCAGGGCCGGGTATGGTCTCCGGATGCCCACGGTGCAAACTGTGACTCTCTGAAGAGTCGGTGGGACAAGCTTCATCATATTCCTATTGTAAATCTTTCCTTATAACATTGATCAAATGATTACAGCTATGATAAACTCAGCCATGTTAAACACAGCCATGTTAAACACAGCCATGTTAAACACAGCCATGATAAACTCAGCCATGTTAAATATAGCCATGTTAAATATAGCCATGTTAAACACAGCCATGTTAAACACAGCCGTGATAAACACAGCCATGTTAAACACAGCCATGTTAAACACAGCCATGATAAACTCAGCCATGTTAAATATAGCCTTGTTAAATATAGCCATGTTAAACACAGCCATGATAAACATAGTCAAGATAAACAAAGCCATGATAAACAAAGCCATGATAAACAAAGCTATGATAAACTCAGCAATGTTAAACTCAGCCATGATAAATACACGGTAGAATCTGTGTTAATCATTTCGAAGGACTGTGTTTATCGGTACAAGGAATGATACCAGTTTAGTTCCACAGGTTTCAGTCCTTAGGTGGACGATCTTCCAGAAGGAATGACTCAGTCCTCTCAATGTTTGCTGATAATGCAAAAATTAAGAGGATTAAGACAGAAACATAGCAAATGGCTACAAGATAACCTGGACAGACTGAAAGAAGGTTCCAGCAAATGGCTACTAGTAAGTAGCCATTTTAACTCAAATAAGTGCAAATTAATGAATCTTGGTGCAGGGCAACCCGTCCTCTTAAAAATAACGTCACCTTTGGCTGGTATGCGCGCTATGGCCAAATTTGGACGTAATTTGAAATGAAATCGACTCACAAAAGTGACGTTCTGTTCCGTTTTCTATTTGAGTAGTCCGGCGTACGCGCAGAGGCTATAAGAGGACACTTTAAATTAACGTTTTTCATAACGTTTTGAAACTTTATGAGAATTTCCTGCCGACCTAACCTATCAGAGGACCCTTAACTTACTGTTGTTGAAAAAAAAAATCCCAAATTTATTTTCATATTTTTTTCATTTTCAAATTACGTCCAAATTCGGCCATACGGGCAAACGGCCAAAAGCGACGTTCTTTTTACAACCCGTTCTCGCAAATTCGTAAAGTCAATATTGACTTATTAACTACGTGCATAGGTGATATACTAAACATAATAGATACCCTTAAAAAGATTCATAGAAAACACCGACCTTACCTAACCTTGTTAGTATCTTAAGATAAGCATCTTATTGCTTCGTAATTACAATTATTACTTAACCTATACCTATTATAGGTTAGGTAATAATTGTAATTAAAGAGCAATAAGATGCTTATCTTAAGATACTAACAAGGTTAGGTAAGGTCGGTGTTTTCTATGAATCTTTTAAGGGTATCTATTATGTTAAGTATATCACCTATGCACATATTTAATAAGTCAATATTGACTTATTAAATTTGCGAGAACGGGTTGCTTTTTAAGAGGACAGGTTACGCAGGAAACCAATGGGCTACTTTACCTTGCGGGTACCTGACGTTGGGTTCCGAAGATCAACGTCCACACAGCCCGGTCTTAGACCAGGTCTCGTGGTTGGTGGTCTGGTCAAGCAGACTGCTGGAAGCGGCTGCTCGCAGCCTCATATATGTATCACAGCCTAGTTGATCAAGAGATGAAATCCTTCAAGAATCGGGTACAGGAAAAGATCTGGGATTTGACTTCTCTCAACAAATCTGTCTCCTAAAGTCCACACTAAAAGAATATGATCAGTGGCATTTCTAGAGAGGCCCATATAAGGCCTTTGGAAATTTGTGCAAGGAATCATTGAGAACCTTTTATATTACATATATCAGACCTGTCCTGGAGTATGCAGCGCCGCCATAGAGTCCATATGTAGTCAAAGTATGAGGGTAGGCATGGTAGCTACCCACTTACTTGTTTTGTTTACTTGTGTTTACTTGTGTTTTTTGTTTAAAATACCCTAGCGGGTTAAGGACAAAAAATAACTTCTTTGTTTTAATATTGGCCAACTTAGTTATTTCTATTTCAGTATGAACTTACATTTTGTATCTATTGATTAAAGAGATAAAAAACTAAATCCACTCCGACCCGAGCGGATTGGGTTTAAATAACAAATATAGGGTTTTATGTTGACCAAACTACACACTAGAAGGTGAAATGTCGACTTGATAACGTCGTCGGTCGATGTCACATAATTGGCTTGCTAATGCTCCAGTACGACTTGATAACGTCATCTGTCGATGTGACACAATCTGCTTGATACTGGTACAGAACGGACGGAAACGTCGTCGTCTCTTAAGCTTCTGGTGTGTGTGTGTGTGTGTGTGCGTGTGTACTCACCTAGTTGTACTCACCTAGTTGTGTTTGCGGGGGTTGAGCTCTGGCTCTTTGGTCCCGCCTCTCAACCGTCAATCAACAGGTGTACAGATTCCTGAGCCTATCGGGCTCGGTCATATCTACATTTGAAATTGTGTATGGAGTCAGCCTCCACCACATCACCCCCTAATGCATTCCATTTGTCAACCACTCTGACACTAAAAAAGTTCTTTCTAGTATCTCTGTGGCTCATTTGGGCACTCAGTTTCCACCTGTGTCCCCTTGTGTTAAATAGACTGTCTTTATCTACCCTATCAATTCCCTTCAGAATCTTGAATGTGGTGATCATGTCCCCCCTAACTCTTCTGTCTTCCAGCGAAGTGAGGTTTAATTCCCGTAGTCTCTCCTCGTAGCTCATACCTCTCAGCTCGGGTACTAGTCTGGTGGCAAACCTTTGAACCTTTTCCAGTTTAGTCTTATCCTTGACTAGATATGGACTCCATGCTGGGGCTGCATACTCCAGGATTGGCCTGACATATGTGGTATACAAAGTTTTGAATGATTCTTTACACAAGTTTCTGAATGCCGTTCGTATGTTGGCCAGCCTGGCATGTGCCGCTGATGTTATCATCTTGATATGAGCTGCAGGAGACAGGTCTGGCGTGATATCAACCCCCAAGTCTTTTTCTTTCTCCGATTCCTGAAGAATTTCCTCTCCCAGATGATACCTTGTATCTGGCCTCCTGCTCCCTACACCCATCTTCATTACATTACATTTGGTTGGGTTAAACTCTAACAACCATTTGTTCGACCATTCCTTCAGTTTGTCTAGGTCTTCTTGAAGCCTCAAACAGTCCTCTTCTGTCTTAATCCTTCTCATAATTTTGGCATCGTCCGCAAACATTGAGAGAAATGAATCTATACCCTCCGGGAGATCATTTACATATATAAGAAACAAGTTGGGACCGAGTACAGAGCCCTGTGGAACTTCACTGGTGACTTCACGCCAATCGGAGGTCTCACCCCTCACCGTAACTCTCCGCTTCCTATTGCTTAGGTACTCCCTTATCCACTGGAGCACCTTACCAGCTACACCTGCCTGTCTCTCCAGCTTATGTACCAGCCTCTTATGCGGTACTGTGTCAAAGGCTTTCCGACAATCTAAGAAAATGTAATCCGCCCAGCCCTCTCTTTCTTGCTTAATCTTTGTCACCTGGTCGTAGAATTCTATTAAGCCAGTCAGGCAAGATTTACCCTCCCTGAACCCATGTTGGCGATTTGACACGAAGTCCCTTCTCTCCAGATGTGCTACCAGGTTTTTTCTCACGATCTTCTCCATCACCCTGCATGGTATACAAGTCAGGACACTGGCCTGTAGTTCAGTGCCTCTTGCCTGTCACCCCTTTTGTATACTGGGACCACATTCGCCGTCTTCCATATTTCTGGTAGGTCTCCCGTCTCCAGTGACCTACTATACACTATGGAGAGTGGCAAGCAAAGTGCCTCTGCACACTCTTTCAGTACCCATGGCAAGATCCCGTCTGGACCAACAGCCATTCTAACATCCAGATCCAGCAGGTGTCTCTTGACGACCTCTCTCGTAATTTTGAACTCTTCCAAGGCCGCCTGGTTTACTTCCCTTTCTCCTAGCACAGTGACCTCACATTGTTCTGTTGTGAAGACCTCCTGGAACCTCTTGTTGAGTTCATCACACACCTCTTTGTCATTCTCTGTATACCTGTCCTCGCCTGTTCTAAGCTTCACTACCTGTTCTTTCACTGTTGTTTTCCTTCTGATGTGACTGTGGAGTAGCTTTGGTTCGGTCTTGGCTTTGTTTGCTATATCATTTTCATAACTTTTCTCTGCTTCTCTTCTCACCCTGACATACTCATTCCTGGTTCTCTGGTATCTCTCTCTGCTTTCTGGTGTTCTGTTGTTCCAGAAGTTCCTCCACGTCCTTTTGTTCAGTTTCTTTGCTTCCATACATGCCCTATTATACCATGGATTCTTCTTTTGCTTCTCGGATTTTTCCTTTTGGGTCGGGATGTATCTGCTTACTGCCTCCTGACACTTTTGGGTGACATAGTCCATCATATCTTGTACAGACTTTGCTTTGAGGTCTGTGTCCCAAGGTATTTCCCTTAGGAAGCTTCTCATCTCCTCATAATTTCCCTTTCGGTAAGCCAGCCTTTTGTTTCCTAGTTCTTTTTCGGGGGGGGGGGGGGGGGCCCCCATAATTCCTAGCTCTACCAGGTACTCAAAGTTCAATACACTGTGATCACGCATTCCCAAGGGGTGCTTCCATCTTGACTTCCCTTATATCCCACTCATTTAGGGTAAATATCAGATCAAGCATTGCTGGTTCATCTTCTCCTCTCATTCTTGTTGGTTCCTTGATCTGCTGGCTTAGAAAGTTTCTTGTTGCCACGTCCAGCAGCTTAGCTCTCCATGTTTCTGGTCCTCCATGCGGGTCTCCGTTCTCCCAATCTATCTTCCCATGGTTGAAGTCTCTCATGATTAGTAGTCCAGATCCATTCTTGCTAGCAACAGAAGCTGCTCTCTCTATTATGTGTGTGTGTGTGTGTGTGTGTGTGTGTGTGTGTGTGTGTGTGTGTGTGTGTGTGTGTGTGTGTGTGTGTGCATGCGTGCGTGCCTGTTTCTGACTGGGTTTTAGTTTGTTATTACTTTTAATGTTTCATATTTTATTACATGTCAGATTGTACTAGTTTTCTCATTCTTAATGATCATGTTTTGTTTGGCAGTATTTACAAGCATGTTTAGTTGTGTATGACAGGAGTCATAAAAGCTGGTTCTAAGCGTTTGTAGGTAGCATGTTGCACTCCGCCCAACCTCTTCTCTTGAACAATACATCGGACAAAATACGATGTATTATCAATCATAATGGCTCACAAACAACAGCTATCAATCACAGCGACTTACAAACAACTATCAATCACAGTGGCTCACAAGCAGCACCTATCAATCACGGTGGCTAACAAACAACTAACAATCACAGTGGCTAACAAACAACTATCAATCTTGGCGGCTAACAAACAACTATCACTCACAGCGGCTCACAAGCTCAACAATCATCTGATGTACGCTCCTGTGTTTACACCCCTCACTACAACACAGTCGCGTGTCGATCGCTTCGTCTTCCCTCTTGAATTTGAAATTATTTTTTATATATTATATTTTGCATTCTCTAATATTCATTGTCGTCTATCAACTGTAAGGCGGCAGACTTATATGTACATGTTACACATTCACCTTCAGGATTCACTATTATGACGAGGATGAGCAAACGGGTGTACACAGCCTCAGGAAGAATACACTCCAGGCACTGAAGGGTGATGTACCTCCAAGCCCTGGGAAGGCTGCACTTACCGCATCTGAGATGACACACCGCGGCCAGGAGCTGCGGTGGGTCTACATAGTCCTAAGAAGCGTCCTATATGACAGTTCTTAGGTGGCGACAGCTTCCAGGACACAGCAATCATGAAAGGTCCTGGTGGCAGGAATTTCTGACAGTTATGACAGATGATATGCTTGGCGTTTCTAGGGAGGTACTGTAGGAAGCGGTTGGCCTAGACAGGATAACTAGAAAATTCTAAGAAGTGGAATAGATGCCAGGTCCTAGTAATGTGTCACAGTAGGCAAGAGAGGGGTGGCGGTAACCAGCTGGTAGTTGCGGCACCACCTTCGCCACGGGCTAAGATCACTACATACATGCTAAGAAGCACAGTTTGAAGCTCACAGAGAGAATAGGAGCTGTAGCTGTAGAATTTTTCCAGAGCCAGAACCTGCAGCCAAGTGGTACAAGAGCTCGAAGCATTGAGCTTAAGACTCAACTGGGAGCCTGGACCAACAACGAAAGGCTTGGAAACCCCAGCTGAGTGTGTGTTCCCACACCTGGTTGTGTGAACCCCACACCTGGTTGTGTGAACCCCACAGCTGAACGTATGAACCCACAGTTGGGTGTGAACCCACAGGTGGGCGTGCAAACTCGCTGCTGGGCGTATGAACCCACAGCTGGGCATATGAACTCACAGCTGGGTACATGAACCCACAGCTGAGGATTGAACCCACAGCTGGGCATATGAACTCACAGCTGGGTACATGAACCCACAGCTGAGGATTGAACTCACAACTGGGTGTATGAACCCGCAGCATGTGCCACGGCTGGGGAAGCACTGGCCCTCGACTAGTGGGAATTGTTGGTCTGTAAACGTCACGAGAGTTATCGCTGGGACTGTAATGGCAGAACTAGAAATGGTCCAATTACTTGAAGGGAAAGTTGACTAGAAAGCGATAGCCTGGAACTAGAGTGGCACGACAAGTGGCACGACAAGTGGCACGACTAGGACGCTTGAACTCTAGACTAGAAGGAAGACTATGGACCGCAAGGGGTACACTGGCCCGAAACTAGAACATGATGGTGCCCCAGGGACCAGAGGGTAACAGGCCCAAGACTAGAACATAATGGTGCCCCAGGGACCAGAGGATAACAGCCCCAAGACTAGAACATAATGGCGCCCCAGGGACCAGAGGATAACAGGCCCAAGACTAGAACATAATGGTGCCCCAGGGACCAGAGGATAACAGGCCCAAGACTAGAACATAATGGTGCCCCAGGGACCAGAGGATAACAGGCCCAAGACTAGAACATAATGGTGCCCCAGGGACCAGAGGGGAATGTTGATATGGAGATTAAAATGCAAGGTTGGTCCTAAGTCCAAAGCAATGGTCCAGAAAATAATGTTGGCACAATATTGGCTCAGGACTACTGTTAACCACCAAAATATTGCTTTAGAAAGAATCATTTCTTATATTATTTAACATGTCATTATATTATGTACTATATGGTTCATTACCAAGGTTTACACATGTCACATACGGAGTGGCAGTAGCAGAGGTGCATTACCCACATGATCACTGTGAGCTACAGCTGGCAAGTGTCAGCAATCACCTTGAAGACAGCGGTGGGAGAAGATGGGGCGAGATGCTACATGTGCAGCTCCACACTCCCTGCCCCTTTCTTGTGGTGTCGACCAGACCCTGAGCCACACGAGCCAGACCCCAGCATACTGCAGTTAGGGTCCTCAGTGCTGGACTGGATGCTACACTCTTCACTCTCCTTGATACTCACTGTATTGTTAACATTATTATCTTGAGCCGTCCTGCCGTAAAAGGTACTTCCGTCACCAACACTGCCGTTCATTTTCACTCGACTCACAACACTATGGCCATTGGCACGTCTTGTAACATCTACACTGCCTACTAGAGGACTCGGTCTGGTGGGGGTGTGTGGACCCTGTGCGGGGCTGGCTCGTGGATTGCGGGCAGGGCTGCAGGCGGGGCTGCAGGTGGGGCTGCGACCGGGGCTGCGGCCCGGACTACGACCGGGACTACGACCGGGGCTACGCCTCGGACTACGACCGGGGCTTCGGCCCGGACTACGACCAGGGCTACGGGCTGGACTAGCAGCTGGACTAGAGGAACAACTTGCCCGCTCACGAAGTGTCCGCATGGTGGGTGGACTGGGAGCAGTTTGGTCGCACTCCTTGATAGGGGACAGATGTGGCGCTATACTGGACCGCAGGCGCCGACGAGAGGGTCGAGGTCGTGGAACCGACACCACTCGAACCTCCATGTCATCCTCGACGGAAAATTCACTGACCGCTGTAGACACAGTGCGGCTCAACGTTCGTAACTGTGCCCGGGACCGTCCTAACTGGATCTGTGGCAACTGTGGCACTGAAGAAGTTCTTGCTGGAGGTGTTCTAGGGGCGGTGTTGGTGGGAGACACCATAGTCGAACTGAAGCGTCCACCAGGCTGTTGGTAACGCAAGGAGTGATTTTGGAGATGATTTTTAGCAACAGTTGGTGAGCGAGCATCCTCTGATGGAGTGGTGGGAGACAGGCCTGGGGTGGAACAGGTGGAAGACCGTGGAGAGCGCACAGCAGTGGTCACTGTGTTGACGGAGTCCACCGATATTGTAGAGAGCAGTGCTGTGTCGGTGGTAGAGGAAGGCGTTATTTGATTGTTGGGCGGGCGACGAGTTACCGCCCACCCGCACACAGCACCCTCCCTCTCCGTCCCACCCTCACGCCCATATGTAGCGAAGGAGTGGGCAGAGTTCGAGCCGCGCAAGTGATGGCCTCGTATATACTCATAGGTTGTAAACCCCAGGAAAATGATGTAGACATGGAAAGCGGCAAGATGCACGAGGAGGACCTCCGCCACCAGGGCCACGGAGAACACAGTCGACAACAGCCCGATGAAGGCACCGTCGTAGACCAGAGCACCGAAGATGGAGAAGTGGCAGTATGGCGCCCCTTCTGAGCATGTAAGCGACGCCTCGGCACCGGGATTTTCACGTAACTTATGCTGGGGTCGAGGCGCCTCCCACGGGGACAGGTATTCTTTATTGAAATAATACAGAACAATTTCTGCAAGACAGGTAGCCATCACCAGGAGGCAGGCGACGATGGCCGTCACGACGCAGGCCAGAAACACTGGGTAGTTGCGGCGACCCACGCAGTGGTTCAGCCACTTACAGTGGTGGTCAAATACATCCACACACTTGTTGCACGCGCTGCAGTGTTTAGTCCGACTCGAGGTTATTGTAATATTACACAGATGGCATCGGCCGTTTTCAATCACATGGTTATGTACATTACGATCAAACTCGGGCACTTGTTGGCGGTCCTTGCGGGCCCTGAGCTGCGGATCTGCTGGGTCCAGAGCGAGAGCCACCGCGTGCGTCAGGACGTGGGCGGCGAAGATGACGCCCGTGATGACTGCAAGGGGTGTGGCTAGGCGGGTGTGGAGGGCGGGCAGGACGGCGCCGTACATAAGGGCAGTGAAGGCGACCATCACAAGCCACGCTAACACCTGCTGTGGGTGAAGGGGCAGCTGTAGGCCGTGTACGCGACGCACGCGGCGAGGGCCCGCCCACCACGGCCGCCCGTCACCCATTGTACACCACCATCATCACCGCCCCCGTCCCTCTGAGTCTTTATTACGTCCTTCCAAACTCCACCGCCCGTAGCCTCTGGGTGAGGCCTCTACTGCGCCAGGCTGCTCCTGCATAGGGCCGCGCCTTCCCGCTCACACACACACACTCCCGCTTGCGGCCGCCGCACCCCAAGATGTTGTCAAGTAGGAGAATACTCATAGCATACTGGACAGCTGCAGGGCTTCAGTTGGCGCCAGGAACCTGTGCCGCTGTTGACAGCTGGGGCCAGGATCCTACCGCTGGCGCCAGGAACCTGCTGCTGGGGATCTCACACGTATAAGCACAACACCTGATGCTTGAGTGTTAATAATCATGTAGGAATCTGAAAGAAAATACCGCAATTAATATTATTCAGCTTGAGACAACTGCTAAGCTCAGATATATCACACATATGTACACCTGGCGGAGTGCGTGTCGGGCACACCAGTCAAGGCACGTGTCCTGGCACACACTACACCAACACCTCACACGGGATCTCAATACTCACCTTAGTTACATTCATATACAGAAAATTTACTACGCAACGAATATTAATAATTAACTCCATCAAACATATATACGACAAGCAAATGAGGTTATCTTAATGGCATTACCCCTCACCAGGCACCTGCACCACCACATGTCCTCACCAGGCACCTGCACCATCACATGTCCTCACCAGGCACCTGCACCATCACATGTCCTCACCAGGCACCTGCACCATCACATGTCCTCACCAGGCACCTGCACCATCACATGTCCTCACCAGGCACCTGCACCATCACATGTCCTCACCAGGCACCTGCACCATCACATGTCCTCACCAGGCACCTGCACCATCACATGTCCTCACCAGGCACCTGCACCATCACATGTCCTCACCAGGCACCTGCACCATCACATGTCCTCACCAGGCACCTGCACCATCACATGTCCTCACCAGGCACCTGCACCATCACATGTCCTCACCAGGCACCTGCACCATCACATGTCCTCACCAGGCACCTGCACCATCACATGTCTTCACCAGGCACCTGCCTGGTGATGGTGAGGCTGGCGCCTCACCATACCCTTATTGGTCGTGGGGGGTCACTTAAGGCCACTCTGGTGACCTTAGTCTACACCCGCCACTCTGGTGACCTTAGTCTACACCCGCCACTCTGGTGACCTTAGTCTACACCCGCCACTCTGGTGACCTTAGTCTACACCCGCCACTCTGGTGACCTTAGTCTACACCCGCCACTCTGGTGACCTTAGTCTACACCCGCCACTCTGGTGACCTTAGTCTACACCCGCCACTCTGGTGACCTTAGTCTACACCCGCCACTCTGGTGACCTTAGTCTACACCCGCCACTCTGGTGACCTTAGTCTCACAACCAACCAAAGCAGCAACCACAACCCGAGCCCCACAACCACTACAACCCGAGGCTCCACAACCACCACAACCCGAGCCCCACAACCACTACAACCCGAGGCTCCAAATCGTTTTACAGGACAAAGCAGCTTTAAGCCGACAACTCCCCCCAGCAAATCCACGCAAGCACTACCAATACGTTCATTTATTTAATACAATGTAACAAACTTTCCTTCTTCCTCTAGTACCCTTGTTATAGGTATTGTTCATGCTATCATACAATACATTACTGTATCATCTCCCTGTAGTGGTGACACAAGTGTTGCTATCATACAATACCTTGCTGTATCATCTCCCTGCAGTGGTGATACGAATGTTCCTATCATACAATACCTTACTGTATGTGATAATGTTAACGCCATCTGTTGAGTGCACCTGACCCCCCTTTTCTGTTCCCCGGTGGAAGGCTGTGGTCTTACTGACACCTCTGTAGTTTCTTTTTAACTAGACAAATATTTTTCCTCAGAAGTGATGTGGTGGGTACCTTGAACGGCAAGAAGGGGTCCACCAGGAGTGGCCAGCGAGGGCAGTCCTGAACGTACGACGAACTAACTATTAGTGGTTAGTTACACCTCCCTGTAGTGGTGACAAGTGTTGCTGTCATACAATACTTATGGAGGAATTATAAGAATGATGCCTAATACTACCTTTAAGCAAACATCTCGACAACATAAATACTCTCATCCAGTGGACATTCCTCGCCAATATTGCAATTCTAGAATCCTGTAAACACTTGATTCTAGATGTGAATCCTTATGGGTACTCCATCTATTTACGTATACGTGTCTCCTCAAAGGGTTGCGAATTGGGCCCCCCATTTGAGTGCAAATCTTCAGAAGATTACTTAGGATAGATGCTGGAATATCTAGCTTTGTGGTAGTATTGTCACGGTGGATTCTAACATTAAGCTGATGGGGGTGTCTACGGGAAAGTTCATAAGTAGGGATTCCACGTCTAGAGATGCTATCATTCCATCTGGCTTTGTGGTCTTCACTATGTCTAAGAAACCGGCGACTGATTTCAAGCTGTACATATCCGGTACACATATAGTCAACTTATAGGCAGATAGTAGTTGCAGTAGTGTTAGGGGCGTAAGTCTCATTTTACGCAGCGTCACCCATTTTATACGTATACACAGACAGAGCAGCCATGGGGTCCTCACTAGGAGTACTCTTTGCTAACTTCTATGTGGGAACACTAGAAGACACCATCTTCACAACCACAGGGAAGCCTCGTATCTACTGCAGACACATCGATGATATATTCCTATGTGTTAAAGACCTCAAGGAATTGTCGCGTTTAAAGTATCTACTGACCCGAAATCAGAACATTACTAGATCCTAGATCATGAACAGACATCAACGGAACAGAACCAAGACAGAACCTAGATCATGAACTAGGCATCGATGGTACACTCCCTTTCCTCGACGTCTACGTCAGAACCAATGACAACACTTTCCTCAAACAACTTTATACCAAACCCACCAAATTGTCTCCTAACTCCCCTTGCCACTTCGGGGGGTATAGGGTGTTTATGTACCTTCAGGGCACCAATCCCCCCAGCCACAGGGCATGGCGAGAAGGCACCTCTAAGCATACCATTGGAATGTGTATGAATGGTCACGCAGAATGTAATAAAGACTAGTGTAATAAAGGCATTTATACATCTTTACTGATGTGAAGTCATTCGTCATTTATGAGTCTTTACTCATTGTTCCGCCTGGCATAACATCCACAAGGAACTGGACAAACGCCTTCAAATTTTAATAAACAACGGGTTATCTTGAGGTGATTCCGGGGCTCAGCGACCCCGCGGCCCGGTCGTCGACCAGGCCTCCTGGTTGCTGGACTGATCAACCAGGCTGTTAGACGCGGCTGCTCGCAGCCTGACGTATGAGTCACAGCCTGGTTGATCAGGTATCCTTTGGAGATGTTTGTCAAGTTCTCTCTTTGAATAGAATGAATAACATGAATAGAAAAAAAGTACGGGTACATGAATAGAAAAGTCATCACCCATATATCAGAAGATATTAACATCAAATGATATAACAAAGAACACCAACCAACATCTAACTGTTGCAAATCCACTATGAGCTCACAATACAAAACTGAAGAAACAATAATTAAAATGGAGTGAAACCGACAGCGCCAGACCAAAGATTGGAATTCATTGTTTACTACATAACAAAAGGGACTGCTGATTTAATGCTTTAGAGCAGACCCAATAAACAATACAACACACTCCAAAAAGCAAGTGTGGTATACAACTGACATGCCCCAATGACGGAGGTCACCTTCGGTCTGCTTATATTGGTATGACCATCACAAAGCTTTCGAGAAGTCTGACCTGCCATGTACAAGATGGTGGCCCTAGACACCTTATGGAAGGTGTACATGACACAACACTCACTAGGAACATGCTAGTAAATAATACAACGCTCCTGCCATCCTCCACTGACCAGAGAAGACTGCAAATGCTGGAAGCTGTACTCATAAAAGAAAAAAAAAACCATCCTAAATATACAGAGTAACATCTCATTCACCTGGGTTCTAGGGGATTTGAACCATGGACCCCACGTGTATGAGGCAGAAGCTCCATCCACTCAGCTATGAGTAGTCTTATACTACTCATAACCTTTTATAAAGAGTAACAATTTCGCTACCTTGCCTACGCTCAGACCCAGACCTCACAATACAGCACCGGATAACGACATATCTACCCAGTTCTCCCAGTCCACCCCCTTACCCAGTGTTTGATTGTCATCCATCCCCCATTATTCCTCTATTTCTTCACCTATGTCTGATTAATTCACCTTATCCCCTCACACAACTTCACCTCTTTCACATGTGTATTTAAAATAAATTTGCACTTTGTACATTCATTCTTTACCTGAAGATGTTCCAGAGTGGAACAAAACGTTGTAGAAAATATACCCTTCAATAATCATTAGAGTTTCTTTACCATGATTTTCGATAAATTGATTGTTCTTCTTAATCGCCAGAGTAAGACAATAAACGCATAGAAAGCTTATACTATAAGATAAAAATGACTGCTATACAGTCATATTTAACCAAATATGCTTACAGGAATAGTTACCTATAACTTGTGTGTTTATGCAAGTGTCGTGTATTATATATATATATATATATATATATATATATATATATATATATATATATATATATATATATATATATATATATATATATAACTGAAAACTCACACCCCAGAAGTGACTCGAACCCATACTCCCAGAAGCAACGCAACTGGTATGTACAAGACGCCTTAATCCACTTGACCATCACGACCGGACAAAATGAGGTGATAGCCGAGGCTATTTGAACCACCCCACCGCTGGCACTCGGATAGTAATCTTGGGCATAGCATTTTACCAAATCACCTCATTCTTTGGGGCACACGTGAGGAACACAAATGCGAACAAGCCTGAATGGTCCCCAGGACAATATGCAACTGAAAACTCACACCCCAGAAGTGACTCGAACCCATACTCCCAGAAGCAACGCAACTGGTATGTACAAAAAGCCTTAATCCACTTGACCAGCACGACCGGACAAAATGAGGTGATAGCCGAGGCTATTTGAACCACCCCACCGCCGGCACTCGGATAGTAATCTTGGGCATAGCATTTTACCAAATCACCTCATTCTTTGGGGCACACGTGAGGAACACAAATGCGAACAAGCCTGAATGGTCCCCAGGACAATATGCAACTGAAAACTCACACCCCAGAAGTGACTCGAACCCATACTCCCAGAAGCAACGCAACTGGTATGTACAAGACGCCTTAATCCACTTGACCATCACGACCGGACAAAATGAGGTGATAGCCGAGGCTATTTGAACCACCCCACCGCCGGCACTCGGATAGTAATCTTGGGCATAGCATTTTACCAAATCACCTCATTCTTTGGGGCACACGTGAGGAACACAAATGCGAACAAGCCTGAATGGTCCCCAGGACAATATGCAACTGAAAACTCACACCCCAGAAGTGACTCGAACCCATACTCCCAGAAGCAACGCAACTGGTATGTACAAGACGCCTTAATCCACTTGACCATCACGACCGGACAAAATGAGGTGATAGCCGAGGCTATTTGAACCACCCCACCGCCGGCACTCGGATAGTAATCTTGGGCATAGCATTTTACCAAATCACCTCATTCTTTGGGGCACACGTGAGGAACACAAATGCGAACAAGCCTGAATGGTCCCCAGGACAATATGCAACTGAAAACTCACACCCCAGAAGTGACTCGAACCCATACTCCCAGAAGCAACGCAACTGGTATGTACAAGACGCCTTAATCCACTTGACCATCACGACCGGACAAAATGAGGTGATAGCCAAGGCTATTTGAACCACCCCACCGCCGGCACTCGGATAGTAATCTTGGGCATAGCATTTTACCAAATCACCTCATTCTTTGGGGCACACGTGAGGAACACAAATGCAAACAAGCCTGAATGGTCCCCAGGACAATATGCAACTGAAAACTCACACCCCAGAAGTGACTCGAACCCATACTCCCAGAAGCAACGCAACTGGTATGTACAAGACGCCTTAATCCACTTGACCATCACGACCGGACAAAATGAGGTGATAGCCGAGGCTATTTGAACCACCCCACCGCCGGCACTCGGATAGTAATCTTGGGCATAGCATTTTACCAAATCACCTCATTCTTTGGGGCACACGTGAGGAACACAAATGCGAACAAGCCTGAATGGTCCCCAGGACAATATGCAACTGAAAACTCACACCCCAGAAGTGACTCGAACCCATACTCCCAGAAGCAACGCAACTGGTATGTACAAGACGCCTTAATCCACTTGACCATCACGACCGGACAAAATGAGGTGATAGCCGAGGCTATTTGAACCACCCCACCGCCGGCACTCGGATAGTAATCTTGGGCATAGCATTTTACCAAATCACCTCATTCTTTGGGGCACACGTGAGGAACACAAATGCGAACAAGCCTGAATGGTCCCCAGGACAATATGCAACTGAAAACTCACACCCCAGAAGTGACTCGAACCCATACTCCCAGAAGCAACGCAACTGGTATGTACAAGACGCCTTAATCCACTTGACCATTACGACCGGACAAAATGAGGTGATAGCCGAGGCTATTTGAACCACCCCACCGCCGGCACTCGGATAGTAATCTTGGGCATAGCATTTTACCAAATCACCTCATTCTTTGGGGCACACGTGAGGAACACAAATGCGAACAAGCCTGAATGGTCCCCAGGACAATATGCAACTGAAAACTCACACCCCAGAAGTGACTCGAACCCATACTCCCAGAAGCAACGCAACTGGTATGTACAAGACGCCTTAATCCACTTGACCATCACGACCGGACAAAATGAGGTGATAGCCGAGGCTATTTGAACCACCCCACCGCCGGCACTTGGATAGTAATCTAGTAATAAGTGTAGTAAGTGATAGTAATTAAGGCGTCTTGTACATACCAGTTGCGTTGCTTCTGGGAGTATGGGTTCGAGTCACTTCTGGGGTGTGAGTTTTCAGTTGCATATTGTCCTGGGGACCATTCAGGCTTGTTCGCATTTGTGTTCCTCACGTGTGCCCCAAAGAATGAGGTGATTTGGTAAAATGCTATGCCCAAGATTACTATCCGAGTGCCGGCGGTGGGGTGGTTCAAATAGCCTCGGCTATCGCCTCATTTTGTCCGGTCGTGATGGTCAAGTGGATTAAGGCGTCTTGTACATACCAGTTGCGTTGCTTCTGGGAGTATGGGTTCGAGTCACTTCTGGGGTGTGAGTTTTCAGTTGCATATTGTCCTGGGGACCATTCAGGCTTGTTCGCATTTGTGTTCCTCACGTGTGCCCCAAAGAATGAGGTGATTTGGTAAAATGCTATGCCCAAGATTACTATCCGAGTGCCGGCGGTGGGGTGGTTCAAATAGCCTCGGCTATCACCTCATTTTGTCCGGTCGTGATGGTCAAGTGGATTAAGGCGTCTTGTACATACCAGTTGCGTTGCTTCTGGGAGTATGGGTTCGAGTCACTTCTGGGGTGTGAGTTTTCAGTTGCATATTGTCCTGGGGACCATTCAGGCTTGTTTGCATTTGTGTTCCTCACGTGTGCCCCAAAGAATGAGGTGATTTGGTAAAATGCTATGCCCAAGATTACTATCCGAGTGCCGGCGGTGGGGTGGTTCAAATAGCCTCGGCTATCACCTCATTTTGTCCGGTCGTGATGGTCAAGTGGATTAAGGCGTCTTGTACATACCAGTTGCGTTGCTTCTGGGAGTATGGGTTCGAGTCACTTCTGGGGTGTGAGTTTTCAGTTGCATATTGTCCTGGGGACCATTCAGGCTTGTTCGCATTTGTGTTCCTCACGTGTGCCCCAAAGAATGAGGTGATTTGGTAAAATGCTATGCCCAAGATTACTATCCGAGTGCCGGCGGTGGGGTGGTTCAAATAGCCTCGGCTATCACCTCATTTTGTCCGGTCGTGATGGTCAAGTGGATTAAGGCGTCTTGTACATACCAGTTGCGTTGCTTCTGGGAGTATGGGTTCGAGTCACTTCTGGGGTGTGAGTTTTCAGTTGCATATTGTCCTGGGGACCATTCAGGCTTGTTCGCATTTGTGTTCCTCACGTGTGCCCCAAAGAATGAGGTGATTTGGTAAAATGCTATGCCCAAGATTACTATCCGAGTGCCGGCGGTGGGGTGGTTCAAATAGCCTCGGCTATCACCTCATTTTGTCCGGTCGTGATGGTCAAGTGGATTAAGGCGTCTTGTACATACCAGTTGCGTTGCTTCTGGGAGTATGGGTTCGAGTCACTTCTGGGGTGTGAGTTTTCAGTTGCATATTGTCCTGGGGACCATTCAGGCTTGTTCGCATTTGTGTTCCTCACGTGTGCCCCAAAGAATGAGGTGATTTGGAAAAATGCTATGCCCAAGATTACTATCCGAGTGCCGGCGGTGGGGTGGTTCAAATAGCCTCGGCTATCACCTCATTTTGTCCGGTCGTGATGGTCAAGTGGATTAAGGCGTCTTGTACATACCAGTTGCGTTGCTTCTGGGAGTATGGGTTCGAGTCACTTCTGGGGTGTGAGTTTTCAGTTGCATATTGTCCTGGGGACCATTCAGGCTTGTTCGCATTTGTGTTCCTCACGTGTGCCCCAAAGAATGAGGTGATTTGGTAAAATGCTATGCCCAAGATTACTATCCGAGTGCCGGCGGTGGGGTGGTTCAAATAGCCTCGGCTATCACCTCATTTTGTCCGGTCGTGATGGTCAAGTGGATTAAGGCGTC